TCTACTCAGACATCATAGGATGGCAACACATCATTGGATAATAATATGAAGCATAAAGCACCATGTTCAAGTAGAGGGTACAGCGGGTTATGGGAGAGTGGGCCGTTGAATATAGATGGGGAAAGATGATGGAGACGTTGGTGAAGATGATGGAGGTGTTGGTGTAGATCGCGGTGATGATGATGGCCCCCGGCAGCGCTCCGGCGCCACCAGAAGCAAGGGAGGGGGGAGAGCCCCCCTTCTTCTTCTTCTTCCTTGACCTTCTCCCTAGATGGGAGAAGGGTTTCCCTTCTGGTCCTTGGGTCCCATGGCATGTGAGGGGCGAGAGCCCCTCCGAGATTGGATCTATCTCTCTGTCTCTCTCTGTTTCTGCGTTCCCAGATTCTACCCTTTCACCGTTTCTTTTATATCCGGAGATCCATAACTCCGATTGGATTGAAACCTTCGCTCAGATATTTTTCCAAAAATTAGCTTTCTTGCGGCCAAAGAAGAGCATCAACCGCCTTACGAGGGCCCCACGAGGGCGGGGGGCGCGCCCACCTGGAGTGGTGGCGTGGGCCACCCTCGTGGCCACCTCGGGCACCGTCTTGCATTGATTCTTCTTCCCAAAAATCACAAATATTCCAAAATAATTCTCCGTCCGTTTTTATCCCGTTTGGACTCCGTTTGATATGGGTTTTCTGCGAAACATAAAACATGCAACAAACAAGAACTGGCACTGGGCACTGGATCAATATGTTAGTCCCAAAAATAATATAAAAAGTTGCCAAAAGTATATGAAAGTTGTAGAATATTGGCATGGAACAATCAAAAATTATAGATACGACGGAGACGTATCACCCTTCCTCTTCAGGGAATCCCAACAATATCACAGGCAGCAAGCATCATGGTCGTGCGCGTCTTGTGGTCCTTTAACGCTTTGCGGACTAAATAGGGCATTAGAAATATATGGATTGATTAAAGCTCTATGGTTCTAATGTTGTTCTTATGTGACTAGCTTGACCCTGACTTATATGGGTATTGGGATCTAAGGTTACATGTTCTAGGTCAGTTAGGAGGAGCCCTCTGTACACTACTTGTCTTGCCTTGTACTTCAAGTCTTTCGGGCCCACAACGTTATGAAGCCATGGGCCGAGTTGATTGACCCATGACATAACTGACCTAGGGCACCAGGCTGTCCTAGTTAGGCCTGCTGTAAGTTGAGGCACCCCTAGTCCATAACACGGTCACCACATATAAGCACTTTCTCTTCTAAAAAAGATATATAAGCACTTTCCTAGTAGTGATTGCACATCAGGGTATTTTTAATATTAGTAGGTACGAACTATAATGAATAAATAAATCAAATCGATGAATTACTTAAGTTTCAGTCATAGTAACTTACTAGCAATATTAAGTTTCTATCTCCGTGCAACTTAACACAAAACTTTTTTGATAAGTAAAGCTAGTGTCACTCTTTTATTTGTTGTTAGATCCGAGATCAGACTATTTGCTACTAGTCAAATTGAATAAGTCCAAGTAAGAGTTCTCCGAAGAGAACAAGCGGGGTAGAAGAACAAACAACTAGCAGCATAACCATCAACAGTGTGATTCAGCATGTAGTAAACAGATTCAAGAGGTCTAGCAACAAAACAATCTGAGTAATCACAAAATAAACAGATTCAAAAGGTCCAGCAACAAGAAACATCAATGTAGATCAAATATACAACAAGAACCAACTTTTTGAGCAAAAGCTCCAGATATGCCTCTCCTCTTGTTGTTAATGTCGTTGATGTATTTCAATCGCTGAGAAAAGCAAAGGTTCGCTGCCTTTTCTTCTACACAATTGTTCGTCCAAGACAAGTGTTCTTGCAGGAGAATAGGGTAGTACTACAAGAATAGACAACAAGCAAGAAGAAAAGCACAATGAATTGTTTCTGTACAACACTTGATATTTCTCAACATTAGTCCACTCTTTGTCCATTGTTATGCTGCCTCACACAAAGAGGTACTATATCGCTTCCCATTTACAAGCGCATCACACACATATAGAAAGCGCTATACGAGAGAAAACAGACAGTATACACAAATAATTTTGCAAACCCTGCCACAAATCAACGGTCCACAATATGTGTCTGGCCGATCCTGCGTGCAACAAACCCCCTCCTGCTGAAGGAGGCCCGCAGAAGACCCGGTGTGAGAAGAAAGTCACTATAGTCCGTTTTCTTGGATGACGTTGAGGCATTCGCACCTGCATGTGTGATGAGTATTTTGAACTAGCCAACAAAAAATAATTTGGTGTCGACATTGTTATTTTTTTTCTCTTGATCCACATAGTCATATGTGTCGACAATGCTACGCACGTGGCTTAAAAAAGAGAGATTTAGCTATGTACGCTGCCAGACAAGCAGTAGCAGTTTGTTTATGTGGACACGGGTGAGAGTCATCCACGGCCAGCACTAGACGCTTCTGCTCCATATATGCATCGTCGTTACGAATATTAGCAACATAGCATTGACAAAAATGTAATGGCCGCTGCAAAGAGCCAAAGATCATGTGTGGACAATCCATCTCACGGCATCTCTAAAGTCAACCTGAGGAATTTTTTTACTTGGCTAGCTCTTCAAGATAGAATCTGGACGGCGGATAAATTGGCAAAGCGAGGATGGCCAAATTATGATGTTTGCCCTCTCTGCAAGAGAGTGCAAGAGTGCGGGCCCCATCTCTTCTACAAGTGCCGCTACACCCGACATCTTTGGTCTCTGGTCATTGAGAAATTCCCCATGCTCGGGCTCAACACTTTCGCTTGGCCCTTCTTTGAAACGGTTGAAGATTGGTGGGCAAGCACTTGCGTCGAAGGAACGCCAATCTTGCTTTCGTCCATCTCCACCGAGGCAAACTTTTGGGTCATCGCCGGAGCTAAGAGATTAGGATCTTTTACCGCTTGCGAGTAATCCGCATGTCGTGTATTTCAGTGGCTTGTAACAAACTATATTCTCTTTTATTTATTTGCCTCAGTTTAAAAAAAATGTCAACCTGAAGTGCAGGAAACCGATGCCCAAATCAATTATTTATTAATATTATGGAAGAAACTTTTGCATATCACTGCAGGAAAATGGAACATTGTAAGTAACAACAATTATAAACAGGTATGTGGACCACCTAGCGACAATTACAAATACATAGAAGTATTTAAAATTGATATTACTTGAACGGAGTAGTTAGCGAAAATAGATAGAGTAGATAGGTACCTTTGCCAGATGGAGATCCAGAAAGTCATACGTGGCTTATCTAGCATATATGTACTGTTCATCGACGCCGAAGGCACCAATCAATACTCTACTCTTGTTATTTAAAGACACTCTAGTCTTATTTTGAAAACGTCTTACTCTGCCCCTAGTCCCATCATGCAGGGAGGGGAGTGTGAAAGTAAGCAGAAGAGGATGAGATACCGCTGAATTGGCTTCTCTGTCTGTCTGCAGTGTAGACTAATCTGGCACTGGACTGGACTTTCTTCAATTTCCTTTGCGATTTCGGTCATCTACAGCTAAACACAACATCAGGCTTTTCCGGCGAATCCAGCAAACTCGTTCGTGTAGTACGGTAAAAGTCGATCCGTATAATGTACTCGTAGCAGTCAGCAGATGTGCACATTTGTATAATCGGAGTACCGCAAAAGTACACGACGGCCGGCCGGCCAATGTGCTGGGCTGGTTGGTGAGGTGGTCATGTGAAACAAAACCTTTTTATTTCCCAAATTAAAAAAAAAAAGGAATCCTCTCACGATTCGCTCCCCTCCTCCCTCTCCGCCCGGTCTTCCTTCTCCCCCCTCCCCTACCGACCTCCAAACCAAGTCCCATTTCCCCATCTCATCAATCCCTCCATAAATCCCCTCGCCTCGCCTCCGGCCTCACCTCCGCCGCAGCGGCGGCAGAAGATCGGCTCTTCCTCCATCCGGTGCCGTTCCAGCTTTTCCTGCGCATCTTTTGGAGCAAAGTTCGCGCCGGAAAGCCTTTTTCTCGCTGGAGGAAAAGGTCGTGGGTTCAATCACAGGTGGAAAGCTCGTCGCTTTTGCTCCCCTGTCCGTCTTCTTTGGCGGGGGCTTTGGGGAAAGAGGAGGAGAGATCGCTCGCTGCTGGCCTGGGCCGCAAAAGGTTGGGATCTCCTCTCCGCGGAAGAATCTCTTTCAAGTTTGGGTCGTCAGGTCGAGGAGCTCGATTTGGGGCCGGTGAGATGGCCGCTCCTCCTCCTTCAGTTCTTCCTCCTCTGCATCCACCAACGCCTCCATTTCTGGCGTCCAATTCCTCCACTTTTTGCAGCAGGCTTCTAGCATATAAGTTTGCATCGCTCTGATTGTTTCATTCCATGTTTATTTTCATTTGTTTACGCTTAGATGAATTGTAAATTCTTTTTCCCCTTCCATTTCACAACATAGAAGTACAGGTTTCTCTGAAGTTTCTGTAGATCTTGTACCTGCCACAGTAGCAAAGAGATATACTATGCAACTGCACTGCAGGTCATAAAGGATAAAAAGGTCAAACTTTGTTCCTCTGAGAACAGTGGGTCAAAATTGTGGTGCCATGCCTGCCGTGTGACATGATTAGGTTTATTTATACCAGTAAAATGGCGCCTTCTGTTAGCCTTTCGCCATCAGAGGGCTTTGTTTTTTCCATCCACCCATCGCCATCAGAGAGTTGGCTGTCTGTGTAGCCAATTTCCCATCATCTATCGTGCATTCAGTGCGCGACTAGAACCGGTAGCCCACTGACTCGAGACTATTCAAACCAGAATGCTATTAGTAACGAAGCTGTATTAGTAATCTCTAGTCCGCGATTCCTTAGTCTATAAGTGCCGATTGCTTTACTTAGTGGATGATGAGTAGTTTACAGCACCACTACACGCTAATCTTCCTCCCATTCGCTTTCCTTGTGTATATGCAGTGACGGAAAGCTCATTCAGAAGACCTTGGCTGCTAGGAGATCGGTGAAGTTCTGGTTGTCATTGCAGAGTCTCCGGCAGATATGTCTTTCCGCAGCATAGTCCGGGATGTTAGAGAGAGCTTCGGAAGCTTATCAAGGCGGGGCTTTGACGTGAGGATTTCAGGCCTCCCTGGTCTTTCCGGCCATCATCACCGGGGGAAGTCTTTCGGGCCACCGGGTGAGCCGCACGGCGGAGCTGTGGTGGCTGATCAGAATGGCTGGGTTGGTCTTCCTCCTGAATTACTTCGTGATGTGATGAAAAGGCTGGAGGAAGGCGAGAGCACTTGGCCCTCGCGCAAAGATGTCGTCGCTTGTGCGGCGGTCTGCAGCGCGTGGAGAGAGATCTGTAAAGATATAGTTCAGAGCCCGGAGTTCTGTGGGAAACTCACTTTTCCGGTGTCGCTTAAACAGGTAAACATCCAAGTGAATTTATCATGAATATTTGCAGCTGTCGTTCATGATGGGTAGCTTGTATTTTTTTTCTCATGTTAACAGTCTAAATAAAAAATTGAAACTGGGAAACAGTGGTCGCATGAATCTCTTAAGAAATCGACATAATAGTAGTTGGTATGCTTACCTAGTAATTTGTAGCAATTTTCTCGTAGACAATTGAAAAGTAAGATATGCCTGCTTAGAAAAGTTTGCCTACTGAAAAGTACTAGCAGATAGAGGCTTCTTAAGTGAGAAAGACGTGCCTACATAGTACTCCGTACATATGAAAGTTTGCACCTGTCTGACTCTGATTTGATGTTTTATCTACAGCCAGGACCTCGAGATGGATTAATCCAGTGCTTCATTAGAAGGGACAAATCAACACTAACCTATTATCTCTACCTCTGCCTTAGCCCTGGTAAGCATATGTGCTGCTTCTCTCATTAATCTCACACTAAACAATTGCTGTGTGCATTGCTTTAGTAACCTGGTAGTCAACGTTGCTGGATACTGTGCTGATTATATGTTATGTGGCATGTAGCTGTGCTTAGTGAGAACGGAAAGTTCCTGCTAGCAGCTAAGAGGAATCGACGGACAACATATACCGAATACGTAATTTCTGTGGATTCTAAAAACATCTCGCGGTCAAGCAACGGCTATGTTGGAAAAATGAGGTCAAGTACCTTCCTTCACGATGTTCTTACTATCTATTTATCTAACATTCGGTGATTTAGATCTGATATTGTATGTACACCAACAGGTCGAATTTCCTCGGCACCAAGTTCATCGTCTACGACACTCAGCCGCCATACAATGCCGGGAGCCTCGTCCCATGCCAGCGAGGCAGCCGCCGCATCTCTTCCAGGAGGGTCTCCCCAAAGGTGCCCACCGGTAGCTACCCCATTGCCCAGGTGAATTACGAGCTCAATGTGTTGGGCACCAGGGGGCCGAGGCGTATGCAGTGCACGATGCACTCCATCCCGGCCTCTGCAGTCGACCCGGATGGTGTGGTGCCTGGGCAACCCCAGCAACTGCTCCCCGGTCCGTTCGACGAGTCCTTCCGCAGCACGAACGCCTCCTCCAGGTTCTCCATGGCAGACTTCAGCAGCTCTCGCTTCTCAAGCTCCCGATTCTCAGATGTAAGTGGTGGGTTGCGTCGAGAGGAGGAAGATGGGGAGGCCAAGGAGAGGCCATTGGTTCTCCGCAACAAGGTGCCGAGATGGCATGAGCAGCTGCAGTGCTGGTGCCTCAACTTCCGAGGCAGGGTGACGGTGGCCTCCGTGAAGAACTTCCAGCTGACGGCAGCCGCGCCAGAGGTGACGGCCGCTGCTGTGCCGCCGTGGGAACCTTCACAGCCGCCCCAGCAGCAGCAGCTCCAGCCGTCAAGTTCATCGTCGTCCTCGACGTCCGATCACGAGAAGGTGATCCTGCAGTTCGGTAAGGTTACCAAGGACATGTTCACCATGGACTACCGGTACCCGCTCTCGGCATTCCAGGCGTTCGCCATCTGCTTGACCAGCTTCGACACCAAACTGGCCTGTGAATGAATAGACCAGTACAGTGGCACAAGTGTTTACGTGATAAGTCCATCAAGATCTTTTTCTTTCTCTATTGCTGTTGTTGATTTACTTGTTTATTTCCCCGAGTGTCAAGAATGGCAAGAAATATAAAGGTTTCGTTGTTGCTATGTTATTCATGCCTCTGAACTTTACTGTACATTGTAAGTATCAGCAAAAGATATAAACATCTTTGAATATGCGTGCATTTTTCTCCCCTGGCCAATGGCGTGTACTCGCATGAAGTCATCTGTAATAAATCGTGCTGCAAGCAGTCAATAGGGATTAAAATTCTGCATGTCAAAGCAGCAAATGGCTTTCTGGGATCATCAGATGGCCGGTGGAAGAAGCATTTAGACAGGAGAAATAATTATACAGTTCAATGGTCTACACCTATGAAAATTATGTACAATTAACAATCCACAGTCGACTATCTTCAGATACTCTTCCTGGAATCTTGCAAAAAAAACCCTACAATCTCTTAAAACCTTCATAAAATGCATAACTGAGATGTTTACAGAAAGAGACCTATCACCAATCAATCAACATTCCCCAGATCCTACAAAAAGAAGGCAGCAGAGAGCATATGCCAAATTCATCCAAATTTCAAACACCCCGCGGCCCTCACTGACGAGCAACTTGTTGGTTTGCCCCTGAAAACTATTTCTCACTGCAACGGCACGCTCATATACAATCAGCGGGGTTCATCGGGGAGCTGCCTCTGCTCAGGAGACGAGGGATGTGCAGCGTTGGTCACTGAATAGAAGTCCAGATCCCTAGTTTGATCGGAGCTCTCAGTAATGGTTCTGGTCATAACCGGGATCTCAGTGTCTGAATCACTTCTGCGATATCTTGCACCATTGCTTGTAGTGCCCAGCTCTAAGTCACTCAATTCATCTGACCGGCGCCGTGAGGTCTTCAGGATGTCGAGGCCCATCTCAAGGTCATCCTCCACTTTGGCTCGTGGACGGTGGGGCGTCTCATCTTCGGGCACACTGGAACGGCTGATTCGTGGCAGGGACGCAACATGTTCCTCTTGAACGATGGCTCGCAGGTTGATCCTAGAAGGCTTCCTTTTCGTGCACAGGACCTCGAAGCAATTGTGTATGCAACCAAGGTCAAACGCATTGGGTTGGTTGCTGTACTTGTACTTGATATTCTCATATGTTGTCTTGAGAAAAAGGAAGTGAAAATTTAATCAAGTTTAATAAAGTTGTTATTGAAATAAACATAAAAGTTCTTATTATTTCAGCAATGCATAAAAATATCTGCCATGGAAAAATCATCCAATGAGATTCACTACATTTCAGATTAGCCAGTGTAAGCATTATATCTTATCCTTATTTGAGAGTAGATAGCTGAACATAGGAACTTTCTACATTGTATCTCAAGGCAGTCCATGTACCAATGTTTTCGTGTGAGGTATGCCTTAACATTGACTTCATAGGTTTAGGGGACTAACCTTATTTGTTGCAATGAGGTAAGAGTGGAATCCGGTGAGACCACCAACAAACCAGAAACAAATGAAACAGTATCCCATGACTGCCACTGATGCTGGGGATGCTTTAATTGCCTCCACCACTGAACGATGATCCTTCATGAGAAGACTGATATATAATGCAGACATTGTAAATACATAGAAACACAGGATTGCTGCCGAACAAACAAACCAGAAGAAGTAGCGGTAATTGCGCTGCAAAGGTGAACATAAATGCAGATAAGCTGAGATTGTTTTGACAGTAAGGGCTGTCAGGTAGCCAATGGTTAAATAACTAGTTTGATTCTTTGAGAAGGATAAATAAATCAGCACAACAAACCTGTCCAATACATTGACCAACCCAAGGGCAGTGGTGATCAAACCGCTCGACACAATTATCACATTTGGAACAGTGGGAGCAACGAGGAGGCCGATATAGCATGCAAGTTTCACAATATTTTACTCTCACGGGCACACCATTGACCATGATCTCTTTTATCCGAGGGAACTGGAGAGTATGAGGAGCTGAAGAATCATGAGAAAATTCCTCCACAGGTGGATTTGAATTCCTTGGTACAATACCTGGATCTTGAGATGAGGTCAAGAAGAGCAGTAACAGTACCTAACAATCAGATTTTGCAGAGAGGATACTATAATTTGGCAGTTGTTTATAAAGTAGCATGAAGTAAAATTCACAAAATAACTTGTACTGTTGAGAGAACATAACTCATGGAGAACGGTATCGTAAACAGATAAATTAGTTTGCAAGAGCAGAATATAGATAAAACTACTAGTGAATAGACCAAACCAACAACAAAACTGAGGCGTGGGTTTTCCAACACAGGAAATAAATATAGAACCATGCATGAAACATGTGTAGGTGAAAAAGGAAGATGAAAAGATCACAAAATGCTCTGACCAGTAGAGCCAAGTACAGTGTTTTATTGGCTGATGAGAGAAATTACAGTTTCACATATATTGTGCAGTTACAAACAAAATTCAATTGATGTATCATCTATGCCAAGGTTGATCTACACTACTTTGTAACTAAGCGAAAAGGTATCATCCAAGGTTCCCTTGATAAGAAACTAGGTCATTAGCATGTTCGCAACTATATCCACATCACAAAGTCTTAAATGCAATCATGGCCAAAAGATAGTGATGGCTTAGTGCACTTTAACCATTAACTGCTGCTGTATGATCATAATGGCCTTGAACTAACTGCTAGCCACAAAACTACACCTTGCCAAACATGTTGACATGCAAGTGTGCTTAACTTTTACTAGTTACATGATATCTTGCATCTTGCAAATTACTTTTACGTTGAAGCTCTCAGAAAATGTGTCGCCATTCAGGACTTCTCTCCAACTGAACAAAGCAAACACATGATCTGTGATGAACACAAATCCTACCAACCTATCCAAAACCCTCAGCATAACTCTGTAGTAGATAGGCGAAGAATGCTTACTCACATGAATTGTCAGGACTACGGTAACAACCAGAATTGCATACCCTGCGTTATATGCAGGAAAGATGTGAATGAGATTTTTGCCCACAAAGATGCAGAAGACAACAACAGGGGCCACGATCAGCGAGAAAGATAGTAGAGTGGCCTTGGCATCTGGTCCAAAGATCAATCTCCCACCACACCAGATTATCTGAAGAAAATGAGAGACGTCATTGAAACATTCGACAGCTTCATGACACAAAACACTACAACATCATGAGCAGAGTGAAGATGTCAACAAAGTTTATGTCGTGCAAGCCCCCTCCCCCTTTGCCCCTCTAAATTGCCCTTCCCTTCCATTAAACCCTTGAACTGATGGAGTATGTTTGCAAGCCCTGTGCATGATTTTCTAAGCAGCCTGAGCCCTGGTTGGATTAGCAGCAATAGGGTCTGCACAAAGACAAGAACCTGGACCTCCCAATTGGATTATCTTATTGGTGGGGAGAGGACGGTCGCCATTTACAATGGCACCCAAGCTCCAAACCGATCCACAATAGTTTATTCACCGTCTCGTCAGCAGTGTATGCAGTTTAATATACAAATCACCCGCAAATCAATCGAGTAACCAGCTAACAGATAAAGATACGGGCCTTATCCAGGAGCAGTTACCCCGTTCCCACTTCTTACTCGCCAGGTTAGACAGAAAGAAGACAACAAATCAGAAGGAGTGGCAGAGATGGCACTGCGGCGGCGGCCACCGCCAATCGATCCAGAGCAACACGGATTTTCTGAATCCAACTATCCAAGAAGGAAGAAGGGGGGCAAGAATAAAGGGAGTAATCTAATCTCACGTACGTTGTTGCCTCTCCAGACTTGGTAGACCCGCAGCTGCTTGGCCATGGCCGCGCCGCCCGCCGCCGCCGCCGCCCCGGACCAAGAAGGGAAGAAATGGAATCCACCAGTCGCAGTCGCAGCCGCAGCCGCAACCAGCCCTTGTACTCCTCCGACCTCTCCCTCTCTCCACTGGGAGGAACTCTTCTTATCTCTCCCCACCTCTCCCTCTCTCGTAGATTTCGTCTAGAGAGGGTGAGGGAGAGGGGACAGGGCCACGGCCAGGGGGGCACGGGAGCGAGATGCCATCAATCGCCGCTGGCGCTGGCGCTGGGTCTTCTTCCTCGGTGTGACAGAGATGAGATGAGACGAGATATCTGGCTGGCAAAACTAAAAGATTTGATCTTTAGATGGGCTATGCCTATGGGTCTAGACTCTAGACGAGGGGAGGAGGCAACGTCGTTACGCCGGAGTACTACCAAAGAATCTGTTCTTTGTTCCCTGGGACACTTTTCTCTCGTATGTCTCTCTCTTTTTCTTTCTCTTTCTGATAATAGTATACAGTATAATAAATGCCATAATATTTTCTTTTGTTCATAATATTCGACAGATCATCCGGTGCTGGAGTAAAATGGCAATTTACCAGGCCCCTAAAAATAGCAGTTTCTGCGATCGATGGTACTATTGGAGTGGGGATCCGGCATAGCATAAGGATCACATTTTAGATCCCTTGATTAAGGTCCATGTGTCAACAACTATTCATGATGACCTCTCTCTTGGTTAGGATCCATGTTTCAATTATTATGACTCACATCATGAATATGAATGAAATTATATGTTTTTTTTTCATTTTCATTTTGTTAGAAAGGGTAGGCCTGGCGTAGTGGTGAAGTACTCTCCACTTGTGTCAAGAGTTTTTGGGTTCGAGGCAGCCTCGTATAATCCTTCCCCACGCCTCACCTAACGTGGAAGCTTCTCACAGGGGGTCTGTTCTTTTTATTATTACTACTATAAAAATTATCAGTTACTTCCTCCTAGTGTCAAAAACGTTCTTATATTATGGGACGGAGGAAGTACTATATTGTAAACATCAAGCGGTGAGAAGTTTTGTCAATAAAAGGTTATTCTTGCTAATCAAAACTTCAACAACACGTTCACGATGCCAATAAAAGGTTATTCTTGCTACCTGGGAGGGAATATATGCTCTCAGTTTGATGCTATTCTCTCCCTGCCTAGCTACTGATTGAGAATAATCTGGCATGTGTGTGAAGCTCATCTCAGACCAGATGATCAGTAATAACCACGAGAACCTGGGATTTCCTGGAGGATAAGAGTAAGTGGGCATGGTTTCTTGTGTGAGAATAGATTGGCGAAATTAATCAATCAATCCCATGTGACGCGATGTAAATAGTTGGCACTGCTCACTGCATGATGCTGTCTGCTTGATTTGATGCTGTTCTGGATTTGGACCAGCTATTTCACCTGTCAGTCAGTCAGTCAGCCAGCCAGCCGGATCATGGGCCCTCCTCTCTTCCTTCCCCAGCACTCATTCAGATCCATATGGATGTACTACCTCTTCCGTCTCAAAATATATTAAGCTTTTGTAGGCTAAACTAAACTAGCCTAAAAAACGAAGGTAGTATTTTTTGTTTAGTTTTTTCCTTTCTTTCTAATCATCTTTTTGTTGAGTTTTTAAGAGTTTTTCAACCAATTCTCCTAGCTGGGATGTAGTAATTTGATTTCTTAAGAGAAGAAAACATATAAAAACTATCTGGCCATGTGGAGATATATCAGAACTCTGATCGAGGCAGGATCTGCCCTAGATAACAAAAATGAAACATTTGATTTACAACTCACTGATCGGGTGGAACTTCTCTGCAAGCTAAGGGATGATTTACAGCTCGAGCAATCTCGTGACCAACAAATGAAACTGAAGTAGAAACTTTCTGCTCAGGATGGCAGAAGCAGCACAAGGGGGCACACCCCGCTAACTGAAGCAGAGCGCCTTCAAGAGAGGAAGAGCAGAGCCAGGGACGTCAGTCCGAGGAAGCAGCTCCACCGGAAGGCCGGAAGCCGGGCCACCGCCGCACTGGGATCGCCGCCTGGGCTCGTACCACCTTTGGGCGCCCTGGGTGGCGACGGCGGTGGGGGTGGAGGAATCACGCAGGTTCCGAATGTCGTGTTGGCCTGCAGCTCAGTCAGAGGTCACAACATGAGCATGCAGTTGCAAGAAACACAACATTATCTTTAAAGAAGTTGTTGCAAAAGGAGGAGATCAAAAAGTAGGTGGTAGGAAATGTAACAGGACTGAACACTGTTAGACAGAAACGTCCTTACCTTGCAGTAAGCAATGTTGTCACAACCACATACAAGATGGCCATTAGCCACATCGGTAGCCAAGGGAGCGCCTCCGCCGTCGCTCCTCTGCGTGATTCAAATTATAAGAAACCAATCTGATCGACGACTAAATAAGCTTCATTTAGACAGGATCTTTAGCATGTTGGCATACCATGTAGTAATCAACGGCGATGTAGTTGGGCCACCGATTGCCCGACAGATCATGGCAGGTCTTTAGCATGCTAACAAGTGGTGTTGAATTGTTCCCGCAAACCCCGGTGGGGTTCGGGTCCGTCGTGAAGAAGTTCATCAGAACAAGCGACTGGCTCTTGGAATCCATGGCAGGGGACTCCGCGCGATTCGGGCACTTGCCCTCCACCATACCCTCATTGCCATCTGCACGGATAAAGCAAAAACATATCAACAGAGAATGGCACGAAAAATTAAAAAACTTACATTCTGATTTTATTTTCTTCTTATGTTGGAACCCTACATTGGCTTTCTACGACGTAGTTCCACTCGAACGGAATCCCCTCGCTTGCTTCTTTTGCTTTCTTTGATGCGAAGACGAGCAGACGCTCATTCTGGCTGATCATGTCCTTGAGCAAAGGCCAGTTGCCACCGCTCTTGGGCATTTTTGCCACCGGGAACCAATACTTCATGAGGCCGGAAGCATTGAATACTTTTGGCAGGGAACCTGCAACGGTGTAGTCTTCCAGGAAAACCGTGATTACCGCTGAAGGGTTTGCTTCAAGGAACGTCTGGATTTCTTTGAAGACATTGATGGCAGGTTGCTGAACGGAACCAACTTAAGATTAGATATACAATAACAAGATGCTCTGACGACAGCATGAAAAGTGTTCAACTAATGATGGGATAATCTTACAAATGCTGTAATATTGTAGCATTTCCCACCAAATGAGTGGCACAGCCAGACATCATTGTTGAAATCGTAAGTGTCAAGCATCAAGCCCCTAACACCATTCTGCCCATAATCAGACAAAGATTCACATGGTTAATATTTTTCAATTAGTACAGAGAAAGAAGGGTAACTGAAAATTACACAGTTATCTGTATAATCAGTAATTACCACAGTAGAATGTAGTTTGAAACCAATGGCATTTTGCAGAAGGAAATTTAAAATGTCTGCACACCAACAGAAAAAAGAGTAGCAGCCTGCTAAATTGTGTTGGGTTGGCTTATTCTTTGTTTCTTTAGTTTTCTTTCTTTCAGTAAAAAAATAACTTTGGAAGTGTATACGAGATATAGGGCAAGCAGAATACTTTAGGAACACTGGTTTGTTTCATAACTGCAACACAATGTTAGCCTACTTGTGAAGTGTGGCTAGAAATAACTACTCAAAAAACGTACTCCAATTCTCCAACACAAACACTGCATTGTAAGATCTTTTTTATATGAAAAAGGTCTACTTTCAGAACATTGACTGAAAAAAGAGACGACGGGATGGGCATGATAAGCCAAGTGAGTGTGGCCCTTCCCTTTCCTTAAGACCAAAGCAATCAACACCTTGGTAGCATAATACCAGAACTAGACATGATTACAACAAGGCCTGTTTGGCAATCAGGGACTTCAAGAATCAAGAATCCTTTCATTTTCAATGCACTGAGCACCGAACCACCTAATGAGGCAAAAGAAAATAAACAAATGAACCAAGTCTAATTGCGACAAGTCATCCCCATGGATAAAAGGGGAAGCACCAGTGTCTGAGGGTTTCAGCATCTTTATTCTACTACTCGTGAAATTTTTTTTTTGTTAAAAATGGAAGTGTAACAGAGTTAGTTCTGATGATTATGCTTTGAGCATCTTTGTGTCTAATCACCCAATAAGCCTAGCCAGCCACCGCATGAATTTACTAAATTTGGGTACCGAGGCCAGTGGCCATACTTACAAGAATCTCTGTGAGGTGGCAACTAGACCAACCAAAGGCAAGTATGGAACATCTTCAGATTTGAGGTGGTGGCATCAGTTGTACCTAATTACTAGTGGTTGGCATCTGTGCTTACATATTTAAACAAATCTGGCAGTACATTATTCATAGTAGCATAATCCACGGTGTGATGGGGCAGCACTACACATGGTGGTACGCAAAGAAAACTAAAAAACTATTTATACCTGGTACTCTCTTTTCCATGCTCTATTCTATTTGAAACAAAAAAGATTCATTTATACACATGTATACTTGCAATTAATTAACGTGTATTTGTCTTTCCAGGCTCTAGGATGATACGAGCCTTTGGGCAAGGGGCAGACATATGAGTCTTTATGGAAAAGGAAAACAGATGCCCATACCTGGATTGAATTCAAACAAAAGCAAGGGAAAAAGAGGACAGAAAACAGTGGAGCAGTAGCAGAGCATGTGTCAAGTGTAAAAAGAAGGCGTTCTTATGTGTGCTGCGCAGCAAGCTTTCGTGGATATTGCTGATATATATTCCTCCGAAAGGGAAAAGGTCGGGCACGTAGGACAGTGAGACCTTGTGCCCTGCTCTGAGTTTTGGACTAAAGAGGCCCTACTTTGTCTGATCAAAGGGGAGGAGGGGCAGGTGGAAACTTAAGGAGGAAGGCACATTACATTACCCATCACCAGTAGAGAAATGAAATACGATTCAGTTGACACAGCAAGATGCATAATTAAAGCCTCGGTACATAACTGCAAGATTGAATCCAGTACTGTACTGTAGTAGTTAATTTTAGAAGGTGGTGGCAATTTTAGTTGGATCAGTGAACAAGGGCAATCTTAGGGCATTTTGGCATAGCTATGTGTCGGATTTCCAAAGAAATACCAACATCTAATCTGCACTGAGTCTAGTAACAATAGCATTTTCAGTAATTAGTTAATTTTATTTTATTAGGAGTAGGAGTAGGCATTGACCGAGCAGGTAAAAAGATGAGATAGAAAATGGGGTTGCGGTGAGATTCGGTAATGGTAGGTGGTGGCAGGCACGAGCACATGGACATGGAAACGGGGCGACTCCACGGAGACGCAGGCACAGGCTGCCATGGGCGAGTTCGCCGTCGTCCCCTTGGTGTTGGGGCGGACGGAGAGACTGGAAATGGTAACAGAGTACTAGTGGGCGGCGATGGTAAGAGTTGTTACCTTGAGCTGCGCGGTGACGGAGTCCTCCTGGTTGGTGGGGGCGATGATGGCGGCGCCGGTGGCGGAGGGGGCGCCGGCGAGGGCGAAGGAGTTGTGCGTGGTGAGCCAGGAGTAGTTGTTGAAGGGGAGGCCGGTGCCCTGCGACGAGAAGCGCGTACGTCAGCATCTATATGAAACCAATCCGAAATGAAGCAGCGGCGGTTCTTGTCTGGACGGAGGAACGAACGAACGAAGGGAAATGAGCCGCCATTGCGAGCAGGAGGAGGGGGGTCGGCTTACGTGCGTGAGGGGGTCGACGGGGGTGGCGCGCGCGCAGACGCCGGCCCCGCCGTCGCCGCAGGCGGCGCAGTGCAGCCCCGAGCCGCAGCCCGCGCCGGCGGAGCACTCGTCGCCTACCCTGGCGTTGGCGGCGGCGGCGACGGATAGGAGGAGGAGGAGGGCGACGGCGAGCGGGCGGAGGCCGGTTGCGGCCATGGCGTCGCCGCGGTGGGCGGTGGCAGCCGTGCGAGAACGGGAGCGAGGCAGGAAAGCTCGGTGGGTGTTGTTGGTAATGGGATTATGGGACGCAGTTAGTACCCGTTTCGGTGTCAATCACTCTCTCGGGTCTTATGTGTAGCGAGACGTGGCTGATGGCTGAAAGATAACGGAGGCGATTAGCCAGCGTGGTGATCGACGCGGCGTAGTACTAAACCGAAATAATCAACCGTTCAACACGTCTCCGTGGTGATGTACCACGTCTGTGTGCCTGTCCTCCCACGAACGCGTCTTCCAGTTTGACATGGTAGGTAACCTTCGTCCGCGCCCACGATCTCTCCTCTCCCAGAAACGTTCTGTCAGTTTTCAGGGGAAAAGGGAAACCGTTTTCGCTTCGCTGTGCTCTTGTTCGCACCTTCCTTCCATCCGTCTATCCCAAGAAGATTCAGTCTGCCATGGCAAGGTGGCGACCTTCGCTGCGCACACAAGCGACCGACTCTTCTGGTACGGTACAAACCAGGTGGTTGGAACAGACATGCCAACTTCTGTTTCTTCGCTACTACTCCCTCCGTAAACTAATATAAAAGCGTTTAGATCGCTATTTTAGTGATCTAAATGCTCTTATATTAGTTTACAGAGGGAGTATATAATTTCCTACTCCCTTCGTCCGGAAATACTTGTCGGAGGAATGAAGGAATGAATGTATCTAGACGTATTTTAATTCTATAGATACATCCATTTTTATGCATTTCTCGGACTAGTATATAATTTCCTTTCAAGGAACAACTCGAATTTTGTCAATGTGCTACAAAGTCAAGCTGTGTAATCCAGATTGGGGCGGCGAAACCCAGACCAGGCCTACCGCGCGCCTTGTCTACTACTACCAGGACCAATTCTAGATCAGACCAGGCACAGCACGACCAGCCAGATCAACTCCATAATCCAATCTAGATGAGTCACATATACGTACCAGGGTTCAGGATTTCATGCTGGACAACAGAGCAAAGGTACACACCACTTCCTCACAAACTTCTTTACACACCATTCACACACCAGGCCCACACCAGTAGCGACTCACATTTGCATAATTACATTGGTGTAAATTCTCACAAGCACTATGTATGTATTATATATATATATATATATATATATATATATATATATACTTTTTCATAAACCCTGTGTATTTTATATACTTTTGGGGCTATTCTTTCCACTCTTTCGAGTAGCTTCTTCCCTTTGATCTTTCCACAAACCCTATGTACACACAAGCTTCAGATGGGCTTCCACACGCTGAGCACCTCCTGGAACATCTCCAGGGTGAGCTCGCGGTCCGCGTGCTGGAAGAACCCGCTGATCTCGTCCCGCACGTCGTAGATCTTCCCGAACACAAACAGGTACGCCAGGCACCCCTTCTTGAGCCGCTCCAGCTGGTACAGCCACGCCACGTGGAGCCGCTCCAGCACGTTGCCCGAGCTGATGTCCTCCAGCAGGCTCTCCTCGCAGCACGACTTCACCTCGCCCAGCCCGTACTTGTTCGCCGCCGCCAGCAGCGCCAGCCGGTGCTTCCAGAACTGCTCCTGCCGGATCGTCCCGTACACGAACCCCAGCAGGGCCGAGCACGACTCCACGCACATGTCCCCGATGTCGATCGTCGACGACGACTTCTCCTTGAGGTCGTGGACGAACATGCTCTCGAACACCGGGGAGCACGCCGCCAGCACCGACTTGTGCGCCTTCAGGACGCCGTCCGTCGTGTTGATGGTCACGTCCGCGTGGATGGACTCCGTGAGCATGCGCGAGAGGCAGCCCAGCGTGCTCTTGCTGGCCACGCCCTGCACCATGCCTTCGTTCGGCCAGATCGACGATGATGATTCAGTGCCCTGTCACCACATTAATTAAAACTGGATCACATTTTAGAAAATCCTGACAGAGGTTACTACTTACACATGCCTATAAAATATATACTCCCTCCGTCTCCAAATACATGGCAGTAAGTTTATATGCCATGTATTTGGGGATGGAGGGAGTATATCCTACAAAGAAGGAACCATTTGAAGCTGATTCGAGGGGAAAAGGAGAGAGGACACTTGCATTGTTCGTGGCTATCTTCAGGTCCAAGAACTCGACGTCAATCGTAAAACGCCCATGGGACATCACATCAACTTGCCACACAAAATCGTCGCTGCTACGGAGAAGCTGCTCGAAAACTATCACAAAGCGATAAAAGTTATCAAGTTTAGTGAGCCTGAAACCATCATATCAGTAGTCATCACAGAGACAATATGACTAGGGAATTAAACAAGAAATGAATGACAGATGAGCAATCAAATGTTCATCCAAAAAATACTGCATTATGTTGAGATTATCGCCAAGCAGCTACTCAAGATTCCATTTACAATTGCAAAGCACATTTGTTATTGTGGGCTTGTGGCCCTAGTTTGAGCTTCTCCTTATTTGCACGCTTCTTTAGATTCAGAATACAATGTTAATATATGTTAGATACTTCAGAAAAAAAAAATCTCCTCTTCAAGGCTATTTATTATAGAGAAAAGTTCACTTTTGGTCCCTGAACAAACCAACTTGTTTGCTTTTCGTCCCTCAACTCCTAAACCATCCAAAATCCATTCCACGTCATGAGCAAAACGGCTTTGATTGGGGACAAGGAAGAAATTTGGCCGGTTTTGAAAGTTCAAGATGCAGAAGGTCTGGTTTAGGAATTGAGGGACGAAAACCAGACAAGTCGATTAACTGAGGGACCAGAAGTGGACTTTTCTCTTTATTATATCTATGTCTTTGCCTCCAAATGGTAGTAGTAATTTAGCTGGTATGTGGGCAAAGTTCTCAGTTCACGGTTGGCATCAAGATGATCAGGCCATGCGTTCACATTGGAGCTTGAAAGCTGCGCACTGAGCAGCCACTCACTGTATTAGCCTAATAGTTGGTGATCTTTGGAATTTCCTATGCAACCACACAGACAACTACTACTCCCTCCGTAACTAAAACAACGATAAGAATTATGGAGCGCAAGGAGTGGTAAATAAAATGCAATAACCACATGGATGTGCTAGAAATGTGTAGCCTGCGTTCCATAATTCTTGTCGTGGTGTACGGATTATGGAACGAAAGGAGTAGTAAATAAAATGCAATAACCACATGGATGTGCTAGAAATGCACAACGCTTTATCATTTACCAATTGGAGATGTGTAGCAGAGCACTTGAAGAAGCAAACCTGGGGAGACGCTGGAGCGGCGCGGCGGGCCAACCCAGGAGACGCGGAGCACGAAGCGGGCGAGCGGCGGCTGCTCCTTGGCCAGCCGGCCGGGCTCCGGGAAGAGGCGCACGTACACCGACCTGCTCTTCTCCACCGACAGGTACCTGTTTTGGGGATTCATGACATCAGCCGGCGGCCAGCCTCGGGAAAACGACATCTAATCGCACCGTGTTTCGATCGAATTTCACGAGTTTATTGGGTTTAGGGGCGTGTAAGATTGGGGAACGGTGGTAGTTTGGGAGTGGTAGGAAGGAGGAGTGATACCAGTTCCAGATGCCGAGCTTGAAAGGGTCGGAGCGGCGGTAGGAGCAGGGGCCGAAGGTGTCGATGCGCCACTGGGCGAGGCGGGAGATGGTCTCCACGCGAGAGTCCGGCCCGCTCGGGCTGCCGCCGCCGCTCATGATGGTCCCGTCGCCGGAGATGGGGGCGCGGGTGCGGTGTCGCGTGAGTGGCCAAGGGTTTCAGTGTTGACGACAGACTGCTTTGCTTTCGAGTGATTACTGCATTTTTTCTTTAATTTAATAATGCCGCCTGGCACACTTGATTGAAATCAGATGATGCAGATGGTTCACAATTTCTACGCAGGATTTGTGTGAACAGTTCCATTCTTAGTTTATACACTTCGTGCATTTTAAAAAATCTTAGAAAATTTATAATGTTACAAAGTGTTGACATAGACATACAAAATGTGTGCATACAAAAATAGGAGATCTTTTTTTAGTCATGTACTGCCTTCGGATGGGAATACAAGTCGGATACAGGTTTTTAGGTCCTCGATTTGACTGTTGAAATATGTGTTGTATGCCATAAAATTTATAGGACGTCAATAAGTATCACACGTGTGGGCGTTAGAGAGTCTGCCCACACATTTTGTGTGGTGTATAAAAGGAACAACCCACACACCTACGTGTGGGCAAAACAAGTAATGCCCACACATCTCTTTTTTTTCCGTCCCGATCCCTCTCACACGCGTGCGTGTGGACGAAGTTGATAACGCCCACACGCACGTGTGTCAGGCCTCGTACCTCCTGGTCCCGCACGCCACGCGTGACAGTCACCGCGCGCCCGCAGTTGCCATGGTCCAGACCCTCGTCCATGTTCGTTTAACTGCAGTTGCCATGTCGCTGAATTACTGTTGCCATGCCGGACAACTGCAGTTGCCATGGTTGCTCAACTGCAGTTGCCATGTATGGTCTGGTCTAATATAGTTGCCATGATTTCAAAACTTTAGGAGTTGCCACATACTAACACTAGGTAGTTGAGAGAGTTGCCATGTGCTCACAAGCATGCTAGGGCAGTTGCCATATAAAAGAAAGAGTTGCCATCTGCTTACGTGCGCGTTAGGGTAGTTGCCATGTACGTGCACGTTAGGGCAGTTGCCATGTACCATGCAAAAACACATGGCAACTCGGTAAAAGAGAGTTGTCATCTGCTTACGTGCACACTAGACAGTTATTGTGTACCCTGCAAAAACACATGACAACTTGGGTAAAAAAGAGAGTTGCCACTTTCTTATAAAGCACACTAGGGGCAGTTGCCATGTGCACTGCAAAACACATGGCAACTAGCAGCTTAGGTGTAGGAGAGGAGACGGACATGTGGGCGAGATGGCAAATGCGCACACACTAGCTCTTGTGCGTGCGTGCAAAGTGGCGTGTGGGTGAACTGCATTTCACCCACACACCAGCCCCTCCCGTGTGGTGAAACGGTCATATGGGCGACCGGGTGAACGCCCACACACCAGACCAGTCCTACGTGACACTAGAAATATGCCAAGATTCGTGCGCTTACGAACGGACGCGGATCCACGCGTGTGGGCGAGAAGCAAACGCGAATTTATATCATTGAGTTCATTGTAGAATGAACTTTTGGTTAATTCAACAACCTAAATTCACGTGCTCGGCTTATGTTCCCTCTGCCATCCGTAGGGAGTAACAAAAGATACTTTTATGTGTACTCCCTTCGTTCGGAATTACTTGTCGTGAAAATGGATGTATTTAGATGTATTCTAGTTCTAGATACATCCATTTCGAAGACAAGTAATTTCGAACGGAGGGAGTAGTATACACCACTAGTACATAACCTCATAATTAGCGGTGTTCCGATATGCACACTAGCAGCATCTTGGCGGAGCGCTTCAAGTATAACATTGCTGATAACATGCTAGTAGCAGCGTCCAAATGAAATGCTGCTACTGTATTCAACGTTAGTAGTGTTCCACTAGAATGCTACTCTTCGGCGGTGTTTCGTGCCCAATGCTCCAATATTTTGCAAACTACCAGCAAACCATTTAGATAATTGAACGCCGCTAATGTACAATACAGTCATGTGCCCAATTTTTCTCTGGCTGCATTTGGTTAGAAATTGTTTTTTTTTGGTGAGAAAGGTTAGAAATTGGTTCAATGGCAGCAAAAGAAGAATCCAAATAATGAAGTTGCACATGCACTTTAAACAATAACTAGAAGTATTCGCAAACATCGACTTCAACTAATAATTGTCGTTACACATTTAATAAAGTACTTAATAACACCAATCCCGAACACAGTTACAAAAGCAAAGTACTCCCCCTGTTCCTAAATATAAGTCGTTTTAGAGATTTCAATAAGGACTATATACAGATATATATATATATAGACGTTTTTTAAGTGTAGATTCACTCATTTTGTTTCGTATGTGTCGTATTGAAATCTCTAGAATGATTTATATTTAGGAACGGAGGAAGTAGTTAGTACGATAAGCACGCAACACGGTAGAGGAGTACTTATACTACACACAAGAAGTACTAATTAAGATGCAAGCCTACTCGTCGTCATCAGCCTCCCAGTTGTAGATGGTACGCATGAAGGGAATGGGCTCATCAGCATGTCCTAGGTGTAGCATGATGATCAACTTCTCACCTTCATCGTAGTAGTTGTGACAGTAGTAGTTGTTGTCACGAATCTCCTTCCAACCATTTACGTCAAGACGTCCATCATCTCGCGATGTGGAGTACGTGGTAGCCATGTCAACTATGTCAGAGATGACAATTTGTATGTCATCACTACCTCGATTCTGCATTTGTTGAGGCACCACGACACATGCGAGTTTCTGTTGCAAAACACAAGTAGTATATATATATATATTGAAAAACATGAATAACATGACATTATATTGAATACAATTACAATGATGCATGCGATCTTGCTTGGAGTGGCCTGTCCTTCTGAACATTGCCCTTGTTTATCATGTGAACTAATGGCACAAAGGACCAATTGTATGAGCCAGTTTGGACATCCACAACACGGTCCCGGATGTTGTCCACAAATTCCACCACAATGTCCATCTCCTGCCAAGTGAGAGTTGTACCTAAAGTGACATGCCTTTTGTCGACTATCCTACGTGTACCCGGGGACACGTCCCAGTAAGCTGTCCAAATGTATATGTAAGCAAGTGTAGTTATGCACAACAACTAAAATTAGCGTTACTTGAAAAGATTGTTTCATATTTCATAAAATACTTACACCGGGGAAGCACTCGAGGAGTAGGCAACCACAGTCTCAGATGAAGATCACCTTGGCCAATATTGTAGAAGTCGATCCTCATCCCTACATCGCAGTCGTAGGTCTTGGTCAATCCTCGCCAACCGGGACGACCGAAGAAGGTTGTTTCTCTTTCATTTCTTACTAAAACCTTGAAGTTGAATCCCTCCGTTGTTTGAAGGTGGGACTAACCTATGGTTGGTTGCCCCACAGGAATGTGTAGCATCTTCAGGACCTCGAGTCTCGCAAAGCAAGGGACAATCAATGAAACAAAAGGAGGGCAAATCAGACATTTGTGAGCCACATCATGCATGAATGTAAGAAATCTCAACCGGTTATGAAATCACCCCTTATTACAACATACTATTATCCGGTTGAAGTCCTCTCCTAGCACAAGGGAGAAGCGGTTTGTCGTCATCCACCTTTGCACTTGATGAACCACCCTGCACCGCCTAACCCGGTTGTCGCCAAACCTAGGACACACACGTGCCATTTATGCACTCGAAATCATTGCATTCAAATGTTTGTCATGCGCGGGAAATTACTACACACAATATAGTTGTGTGCATTCTGCTAACACCCTATTCTACTAACCCTTAAGACGTTATTATACTAACAAACTGTTGGAAATATGCCCTAGAGGCAAAAGATTGTATTATTATATTTCTATGTTCATAATTAAGAGTTTATATTTCATGCTATAACTGCTATGATCTTGGAATATGTGATTCAGTGGAAAACTCGTATGTACGTGTGGAATGATAAACGGTAAAGAATAGGTTCCTAGTCTTGCCTCTAAGACTGGCTCAAGTGTTGTCAGTGATCATGTTTCCCGGATCTTAGGATATTGTTAAGTGTAACGATAGTCCTAAAACAATATTGAGAGTATGACGTTAGAAGAACGATCATACTGAATCAACCCAAACTTGTCTGTTATGAATTGAGTTTATATTGTAATAACATGGAGTATTAACGTGTGATTTTTCTCCTTAGACCATGAGAGTAACATAGTCACTTCTTACCGTAAGGTGGACTCTGGGGCTGCTCAAATGCCACCTGTAACACGGTGATCATAACGATAACTTACAAGCTTATCGAAAAGTTTGACAAGGTACTAGATAGCTCGAGAGTGGGATTTGCTCCTCCGATGATGGAGATATATTCTTAGGGCCCTCTCAGTGTGATGGCATCCATCATCGTCTGGCCAGACACAGGTGACTACATCACGGGAATGCCGGAAACGGCAACAAGAAAGAAGAACAAAAACCGGTAACAAGGATAATGGTATAGTGAGCATGTGATGACTCAGGAGGATACCCATGCATCCCTGGTTTTGTGAAGTATCGCAAAGCAAAAGGAACATCACATGATAACCAAAGGTTCACTCCAATATCATTCTGTGCTCATAGGGATCGATATGGACGTCTGCGGTTCCGCTATCGGTCATTGAACGAAGGGGTTTCGTTCATGTCTATGAGTTACCGAACCTATGGGGTCACAAGATTATGGAATCAAGATATACTGAGTGTTAGTAGGACGGGAGTGATGAGAATATATTTTTGTAAATGTTTCATAAATATTCAAAATAGTTTTCAGAGGATCTGGAAGCATTTCGGGGTCACCGGAAGGGTTTCAGAGAGTATCGGGTAATACTGAGTATTACCGATAAATAATATATAGGTGGAAAATATTTCTGGGGCTTTTAAATTATATATAAAAGGGTCTAATATTTATTAGAAGGCTTTTATACTAAATTTAATACCAACGGGCCTTAAAAGGCCAAATCGGGGAAGGAGCACTGGGCCAAGTTGGCCCATAGGAAGTGCCCCCCTTCTTTATAGGGGATTCGAGTTGGGGATGATACGTCCATTTTGCATCATGTT